CGGCATAGAATCATGGGGTCTCGCCTTCGAGCAATAAGCTCACAGGCGTTGCGACTCTAGTAAAAATTATAACAATCATTTCCATCGGGTCATGGTTATAATAGGACGGATTTGCGGCATCTCAACTCAATGATCTGCCAAAAAAGCCACTAAACCAGAGAGCCTCGAACCAGACAGTCTGCAGTCTCACAAGAGCTTTTTGGTTTCGTTATTTATAGCTCAAGACCACCCAAACCCACAAAAAGCTTCACTGATGACCTACTTTTGCTTAGCCCTTCTGCACACTATCAGCTACTTAACTCTGACCACTTGCTACAGCGTGTTCAGAAAAGAATTTTTCAGTCGCCCTACTCATCATACCCAGCTTCGCTACATTAGGACTAGGCTGTACTCACTATCTTATTGCCGATAAATGGGGAATGAAACACTTCCCTGCCACCCAGCTCCACAAGACTACTAATTTTACATACTTCGTTCGGTTTAACTACATAATATCTTCACCTCAAACCCGAATCCCTGCTGCTTGATTGAATAAAGCCAGGTACATTCGCTTGGACCCATGGGCTTCACCCTAGGCTGAAATGGCCATTTTACCTCTTCAATTAACAGGTACTGTATGAGCTCTTCTAGTCTTTGCCAACCACAGCATCTAGGCAATCTGACCGTGGTGACCATGACTCTAAAAGAATAAACCACCACTGGGTATGTGACCTAATGTTTTGAAATATCCTTTCTTAAGTTTGGACTTCATTCACCGACTTAGCACACCGACTGGTCTTTCAGCGCAACGCAACTATGATCTGTGGAGAAACTGCTTTATTAAATCACAAATTCACAGATAGCTTCCAAAAAGGTCTGTCGTTAGCCATCGCCCAGTTATGCTATACAATTCCGACCCCGGTTACTAATCCTAGGTCTATTTCCCAACTTGAAGCTAACACGCCAATCGCTAGGCGTAAATCTTGTGCCCTGCAGTTCCCCTAAACTTCTGCAAAGCCGTTGAACTTCCCAATCTGTAAGTCCGATGCGGACCATCCCAGAGTTACCGCGGTTTGGACGGAAGGCCAAATCTAGTTGAATCCATTATGCAATCACAATTCTACTCATATCTGTTGGCATTCTTCATTTTGCCCAAGAATTGCCACAGATGTCCATTACCTGTTGCCGGTAGGCTTGACGTCAAACTTGTCAGTATACCAGAATGGAGAGGGCAAGCAACATTGAAGAAGTTGCGCTCGAACAACGGAGTCGATCCATGATATGGTATACAAATCATAAGAATATGAAAAGACCGAAAGGTCCAAAGGGATGTCATTGAAAGGCTGCAATGTAGTAAACCAAATTTGAGTATGCAAGGCAGATTGTTAGCAAAGTGGATTTCTTCGATCAAAGGCAGTGGTTCCTACAAATTTGTTGTGATGCAGTGGTGGCCGAACCATGGGTTACGCCTGCAGTGAGCCTGCCTGACTACGCGATAGGGAGAAGACAGAGAAATGGGGACACGGCTGTATTGACAGGACAAAACATACAGAGCGTCTGCGTAAATATATATAGGATGACTAATTGGCCAAATATGCTCGTTCACTTGTTCGCTGCGTACAGCCAATGGTGGTGTTCCGGTCATGAACAATCTCAGGCCCACTATGCTGGTCGTGTGTTGCTAGGCCGTGTTTCGTGGGAGCCGTCAACTCACCGACATTCCGGACGTTTCGAACCGATGGTGGCCTTGAGGATGCGTCACTCTCTGCTCGTGTACTTTTTCTTCTATCTGGACGCGCCCTGACAAACTCCCTTTTCAACCGTTTGACTGTAAGATTCCCATTGTGGATTTTAGTGGCACCGGTGTGGAACGATCTCGTGTTTGACCCTGTATCATCTGCCTGTTGAAATATGGCTGGGCCAACTTTACTCCGAATTGCATGCGAATAAAGTGAGAAATCCGCGACGTGCGATAATTGGAATATGTTCTTTGTTGTCACTTAGGGCTCCTATTTGAATGTAAGCCTCTGCTAGATCCAGATTTGCAATACATTTCCCACCATCTAAGTGAAAAATCTTTTGGTATTGGTAATAAATTTTATTCACTGTCTCACACGGCGTTTAATCCACTGAAATTATCAGCGCATATGCGAACTTTGACACTTGCGTCTTTGGTGTCATTGAAAATAGACTAGACTACCGGGTTGATAACCACGAAGTGAACATGTTCATTTCCCAAGGTCGCGCAAGCGGCAAATGATATATATGATATGATATATGATATATGGAAATTGTTTGGACATCGCGTTGTAGCACGTCGCTTGCCTTGTTTTTGTTACAGCATCCAAGAGCATCTTGCAGGACATCGCCAGACGTTATATTGAGTGTGTCACTTCAGTGTTCTGCAATGTCTGAAGGGGAATGAAATGGTCAAATTTTGCTATCCAGTCAGGTAAAACAATGTTCAAAATTGGGCAATCAGCAAGATCGTAATTTCCTGTGGAATGTACATTTTTCAAGGATACATTTCAGACTAAGTTACCACTCGGAAGTAAATTATATTCAGTTCACTTTCGGCCTGATTATCTAGTAGTTTCCAACTAGAAAGGCGTATCATCCGAAGATGCGTGGGACTTAGGACGCTTCGGGATACTATTGATGAAAACTATTGGGTTGTTTTCGGAAAACATTACCTGAAAACAAAAACTCGGGTTCAAGCAGTTTCACCTGGTTTTAAAGTAATAACAGTAATAATAATAGTGTATATTCCCAACTTGTGGGTGGCATACCGTCTGGCACGGTTATGCGTTTACAGTCAGGCTGGGGTATGACAGGGGTTTTGCGGGTAGTGGGGATTGCGCGAAAAGGGAACAATGTCATAAACAGTGGGGAGCACTCGATTAAATAATAATATGTTTCTTTTGCAACTTGTAGGGAACAACAGGCATGAGGTCCGACTAATTCAAAGACCCAGTCGGCTCATATGAACTAAAACTGGAAAACCATTTCTGGCCATGGGTGTCCTTGAGCGGTTGAGTAAATGGCCGGAGTTGCAACAAGCAACGAGTTTCTTCGGAACTCAGGTTCATATTCGAACATTGCGAACAAAGACCTGAGCTGTGGACATTTATTGGGCGGCCGCTTTTGCGTGCGTTACCGATTGGGCTGCTAGCTGTTTTTTGAACTTAAGTTGCTGTAAATTCTTCAGCACGGCGGAACTATTCTTGGTGGTCCCATCAATGCAACGTCTGCAACTGGTGCTTCCTGAATAGACAAAAACGTTCACAGCGCCATTCAGAACAGGACAAGCATGATGTATGTGGTCCTTATTACACATAACGACGGCTTATTTCAATGTCACTACACCACTGGACGTGGTGGGTCCTGATGTCTGCTCCACCCTTTCGGTATCACAAGTATGCAAACTCTGGCATTCAGTGGTGAGTACTTTCACCAACAACTTCCCTCTCATGTTCAAGCTTAGAAAGTGCAAATAGCCCATTCTAGCGGAAACTGGAGATCGGCAACGAAAACTGGACACTTGAAATATTTCTCTGAAAGTGCTAGGGCGCGCCCAGACAGAAGAAAAAGCACATGTGCAGAGAGTGACGCATCGCCAAGGTCATAATTGGTATGACGCGTCCGGAAAGTAGTTGAGTCAGTGGCTCTCACCAAACACGGCTTGGTAACACACGACCAGCGTAGTGGGCCTTAGACTGTTCACGACCGGAACACCATCATTTGCTGTACGGAACGAACACGTGAACGACCATATTTGGCCAATTAGTCATCCTATATATTTACGAAGGCGCTCGGTATGTTTTGTCCTGACAATGCAGCTGTGTCTCCAGCCCCCGTCTTCTCCCTATCGCTTAGTCTGACAGGCTTTGTGCAGGCATAATCCATAGACGGCCACCCCAATATACAACAGGAAGTGACTTTATTAGAGCTTTTCACACTCGGGATTGACGACTCTGACGAAAGTTATGTGGTCGTTTGCATCGCTTGCGGCCAATATATAAGACCGGATGCTCTCCATAGAAAAAGTTAGAGACAGCTGTTGCGATAAAATCGGCCCCGTCTTCTTCCTATCGCTTAGTCTGACAGGCTTAGTGCAGGCATAATCCGTAGACGGCCACCGCAATATACAACAGGAAGTGACTTTATTAGAGCTTTTCACACTCGGGATTGACGACTCTGACGAAAGTTATGTGGTCGTTTGCATCGCTTGCGGCCAATATATAAGACCGGATGCTCTCCATAGAAAAAGTTAGAGACAGCTGTTGCGATAAAATCGGCAAAGGAAAATGAACTGCCATTTTGAAACGGAAATGATATCTAAAAACTAATTACGTGAGGAATAAACTGATTAGGTCGCAGCTGCAATTGTTGGAGAACCGTTTAAAATCCTCGACTATATTGACATGTTTGCGGGAGGAAGCTTACAAAATGTGCTTCCGTAACATACTATATGTCACAGCCAATTTCCATAATAGCCCTCTGTGATCCAAGAAACGAAAAACCCTCTAGTTTTAAGGAATTTTTTAAACGGTTTGTGGATTTTGATCGGACACCGTGCCCTGTGCTTACCCACCGTCGATATCTCTTTCTCCGTGACGACATCGATTTAGCGTCGAAAAAAACTCCGACTTATTCTCGGACTGGTGGTTATATAGGCCGATTTTGTAACTTCTACGGTACCTGAACAGGATCATCTGTTGAAGTTTGTTAAACATGTATATAATTATCTTTCTACTAATACCGTGATTTCAGAAATAGGATTTCCGTGCACTTTTTCGTGAATCAGCAAGTGTCACTCATGCTCAGAAAGCAGATGACCTGGAGAAGGTTTGAGTTGGCTTTTTGCTTTCGTCGCCAGGTTTATGGCTCTCAGTCAGACCTGTCGATGCATAGTAAAAGGAAAGAGAGTCATCCTTGAGGAGACCGTACTCCAAACAGCTGAAACGACACTTCATATGAAAATCAAACTAACCGGAATGTGAAATGAGCTAACATTCACTATCTCGATGAAAAGTACGTGACAGGGAACTCACCAATAGCGTCACCTCAATGCAATTCACGCCAGTTATTTGAACAACTCTCCCACTTTTATTAATAAGGATGTATATATCAAACGCAGATATTTCCGATGCTCGTGTAAGTGTGCTGTTGTCACATGTCAGTGGCCTGTGGTTAGCCCGATTCTTGTTAATATCCTCGGCAATCGCATTGAAATGTAAGTAAAAAGTACGCTGTATTTATATCAGGTTTACCTGAACAAAACTTTCGAAACGCCCTTCAAGTACGTCTCCATCTAAGTGGGCTGTATTGCTCTCGTCCTAATTAAAACGCCTCAAATTACAATTACCTATTTTGAAAATGACAGCAACACATTTGTTCAACGTGTGCCGCTCGCTTTCTTTTGGCAAACCCAGTCTGTTTGCTAGGAGCCCACTTATGTCATGTATTTGCTCAAGTAGTCAAGTAGCTACATTCCTCAACCTGGCATCTATGGTTTTCCTTCTTAAGAGCGCTTTAGTAGGCCGTTAACGTCCTTCCATTAACTGCACAATTTTGCGCAAAATATTTTCTCCCTCACCTTGCCTATGCCGATCCCAACACTATGCTCTTTATCGTGGCATTTAATGCCGTGCAAATTGCGTTCCATTTGCAACACACCTCTACCGACGACCGTCTTTGATTTTGGACCCCAAACCAAGAGAATTTTGTCTCGCAACACTTTCCATCTGTTCTTTTGTGAGTCGCTGGGCTTCGCTTGTAATCAACTTTCCTTACCTAAATGTTTGTGCTCACAGGAGTTCGAAATTTTCCATATCTTTTTTGGTAGCGTTGTCAATATCTATAGATTGCTAACGACCAAACATTATGGTGGCAATGGAAGAAGTGTTTGCACTTAAAAAGTGCAAATAAACCTAATAAATCTACTAATTCTCACTTTTAAGGATGAACACTACGTACGACCATATAGGCGGCTACGTTCGATTCCGTTTGATGCCAGGTGAACGTTGGGAGCTCGACAGAGATTTTGTTTGCCGGATGTGTGGTTGTATCATGGTATCTAAGTAACAAACATGGCGAATTTGCTTCAGCGGAAAACTACAAAGGATCCCTACCAAGGCAGAGTTAGAGTCCGGTGTTTCCTGGTATTTTTAGGCGGGTAGCTAGCGGATTGAACGGAAGATCGGGAAAGACAGCGGGGACAAAATGTGAGAGAAACAAATGCGAGTGTGCTGCTTTTCTGTAAGTGTACTGCCGACATTGAATCAACCGGATTATTTTTGGTGGATATTCCGAAACCAAAGTCATGTATACCGGATAACGACGCGCATGACCTAAATGTTCATCACGGAAAATGTCTGCTCAGCGCAGGATTGCAGCCACTTTACAACTGTTTCAACAGCCACGACTCCTAATAAGCGGAATCCGGTACAAATTAGGGGGCATGGATTTAGCGAGAAAGATTAGTATTAACCGAATTCTGGAGCTTGATTATAAAAAATAATAATAATAATTCTCAACTAGTGGTTAGCGTACCGCTATACGTGATCATAGTATTACATCAAGAATAGGAGCGTGACTGGTGGGGGTTGTGATTAATGGAAATTTCCTGAAAAATGGAGGGGAAATTGGGCATTAACGAAGTAGACTTCATCACATCTGAGGTGACATGGGTAGGGATACAAAATTACAAGTGCGCTCTATCTCTCATGGAGAACGAATCAGATGACACAAGATCTGATCGTTAAGATTCAAAAGTGGCCGGAAAAAATGATACGAATGAGGGCATAACAAAAGCTTCCTGCCTGGACCGCGGCAAAAAATTTCGAACTGTGGAGCTGTGGAACTGTGGAGCCGGAATAATTGATCTGGAGAGGCGGCAGAACTGCCACGGCGTAGCCGGCCGATTTAAACCAAAGCTCAAAACCGTCACTAGGGATTCATGGCCTTGGGTTGGTGGGTGTATGGCCACGGAAAGCGTAAGTGGGGGTGATGAAGTGGGGTAATATGCAGTACGGACAAATGGTAGAAGGAAACTCAGAATCAGAATTTGCACTGAAACTTGAGCGCCTCACTAGTCTTGCTGCTGGAGGGGGGTCGAGTGTAAATTTATTTTGGGGACAGAGTTCACGCAAACCGTACGAAAATTGACTGACTTAGTGAGGAGTGCGAATAAAAGTCGCCGGGATTTTTACATCCGACAAAGGTTCGGCAGATTGCAATGAACGCCTCCCGTTCGTGGCTGATAACAAATGAAGAATGATCGTGGTTGTTGATAAGGGATGAAGTGGGCGAGAGGGTGCGTTCAAACTAGGAAATGAACGATTTCGGGTATGCTATGAAGCTGGGTATTACAGTGCCGTACCGTCGCTGCACTGAAATACTTCGGTTTCTGGACAGCCTCGTGACGGACGTCGTGATTGTGGCAGTTAGGCTGAGACGCGCAGTTCTGTCACTAGAGCGAGGTGGAAATGATACGTTCCCAGACATACTGGAAGCTGGACGACCAACCGAATTTTGCATGGGCGCGCAGAATACTCCAACATATTATGAGGTAAGTAAAGGCGAGAAGGCGAACGGGGACTAGGTCACTGCATAACACTTTTCCGGTTTTCCCTGGGAGAATGTGGGCACGTTGGGTTTGGGAAAGACATGCAATTAATTTTGGTAGTCATTACGCACAAAGCACAACTCGTGGAGCGACGGAACTGTCTCAGAAAGGCAGGCAAACCAGGGGACCCGTTTTCACATCGGGCTTGAACTATGACTGCTGTTACAAGGACGAAGATAGTACCTTGGGCAATTTACAACAGGAGGGAACGTAGTGTACTTAAACTCACGGTTGTTCTCAAACTTCTCTGGTCTATTTTTGCTGTGGATCAATAGGTTCCTCTTTCATGGAAGACGAAAACAAAAAAATCGTAGCGCCGCTCCTTTGGCCTTCGGCGCCAACAGTAAATGTGCCATCACAAGGAGTCACATAAAGGCATCCAAAAATTATTTAAAGCGAGCTCTAGATATAATATGTGCAACCGTCAGAACAAAGTCACCCCACATATCAGCCCCCCAAAAGTAGCGCGTTCTAATCCTGAAATCTATTTGCCTCGTCCCCACCACAAACAGGTGGGGTCAGTGGTCAAATAGCACCTCAGCTTAACCTTGTTTAAACAGGGCGCCAAACAATCTCTTGTGTTATCGAAGGTGAAGTTAGCGTAGAAGCTGGGATTTACCTCATAATCAGTAGATTTGGGACCGGCAAAATTCTTCATAGCGGCTTTCTGGGCCTGCTTACCTAGGTTGACCAGTTGCCGCTATCGGAGTAATCAACTTGATTGGCTCGCTGAAGAGTAGCCCTTATGTAAATTTTATAGGTTGCTTGGAAGTCAGTGCGAGGAATGCGGGGAAAGTTGCGCCTTATGAGCCAGAGGAGTGGAAAGAGCGTGCTTTGAGAGAATCAGGTACTTAAGTTTTCTTTGACATCTGGCATTTTGATATTTCCAAGTTTGTTGTCACAATGTTTGACGAGGGCATTTGGCGATTCCTCACCGGGAAAACACATCGGAGCACTCTGCGTAATTCAGAGTGTGATGTCAATCCAGTGATAACCATGTTTTGGCGTAGGCATCCATTCGGAATTCATCGGCGCAAAAAGTAAGCAAGTAACTGAACATGCACCCGAAAGGCTCATTGCGTGTAGCAGAAAAAAGTGTGTCCCTGACGGGAAGCCTTGGGGATCTCATGCGAAGACCGTTGCATAAGAGACGTAGCCGAATGCGTCTAGTATGATGGCGCCAGAATAAATCACAGGTTTCACCCCCAACTTGTGTAGATGCTGAACGAGCGCAACTCAGGCAAATACTTTTGAGGAATAAATGATATGGAATATTGCCTCATTCTTCAGCTTGAGTTAAGCCATTCCTAAGTGCGAGTTTGTCCATCAAGCAAGATAGGCATGTGAAGAATCAATTTCGTCATGCTGTTGTCAGCGTTAAGTTAAGGAGGTCCGGTTCAGAATGCGTTCCAGTAGCTTGCAATGCATGCAGCTGGTTAAATGGGCACGCAGTCACTGAGGGATCAGGGATTGGCAGCTTTAAGCGCACAGTGGCTGTCGCTTTGTTCCCAGCAGCCTTTGATCGACTAAGGAATCACCATGTAGAGAATTTTTGTCAAACTTAGCAAACCTTTATTTCAGAGCGGATTTGATCTATCCTTAATGAGCTGAAATTATTTGCTCAGCGCGGGAGTCTACAAAGATAAGCCGACATGGTGATCACATAAAGTAACGGCTGTTGGTAGTACCGCTTGCCCGAGATCGTGTGTCGTGCAAAATGCGAGCCTGCGTGGCGATTTTAACGGGCATTAGATGACAGTATGATCTTTCACGGATTCACGGATTGATACACAGGATCGAGGCTTTTGCCCAAGTTTCCCGGGTCGGTTTTGTTCTTGTCGGTCAGTGGCTGTCGTTCACCTGAAAGGCACAAGTGAAAAAAGGGTGTAGCACTGCTCTTTATGTTCTCAGCGCGGGGCAGTATGCTCGCCAGCGCGAGGATTCGCATAAATAAATGTCTAATAGTGCTTTAAATTGGGTTCGAGAAGGAGCGTGTACAACCGTCGGAGGAAGGTCATTCCACGCAGCTACTACCCGAAATGAAAAAAAGTTTTGTCTAATGAATGTGTGTGCCCTGAGCTTGAAGATTTTCTTACTATGTCCCCGCCGGGTGTTTGCTGGGTCAACGGTAAAAAACCTGTTTGCCAAGCTTTGTTCAAACAGGGCGTAAGTAAGAATTAGGTCCCCTCGGAGGCGACGGTACTCCAGGGGAAAGAGATCAAGCATCGCGAGACGCGTTTCGTAGTCCACGGACTTGAGGCCGGCAACCATTCTCGTGGCGGCCATTTCCATTTCTCGAGGAGAAAGCCGGTAACCCGTTTATTCGGCGCTGCATCACTGACGGCCACCAAAAGCCAATCAAAACTAAATTAGCCAAAATTTTTCGGTTTTTGAGAAAAAGATATTCAAGTAGTTGGTCTAACCCAACAGCACACTCCAGGAGTGTGTTGACGGTCGTTTAAGTGAATAAACTTTCAAGGACGTCTAACACCGCCATTTTGCATGTAGACACCGACTTAGGATTCTCATTATCCGCACGATGCTCTCAGTTGCAAAACCCTTGGAAATGGAGCAAAACTTTCTACGCTGAAATATTGCATTTTGTTGCGCATGTGCTCCAACCCATAAGCATCCCAATCTGCGTTCACATTTTTGCAGCTCACCAAATTTCATTGTTCACTGAAGGAAACATGTCTCTGGTTGAAAAGTTTTCTGGGATAATTTCACAGCATCGCTGAGAACCCGAGATGCCTGAATAGGGCTTCAAAGTTTGGTCTGGTACTGTCAAATTGATCGCTCAATAGATGCAGTTTATCAGGGACATCATAACTTTCGAAAATTCAGTTCAATTGAGCGAATACTGAGCGCCGGTTAATAGGGTTCGTCTCTCAAAACCGTTTTGCTTGAAAAAGCTGCGTCGAAATATGGAGGCCTATAAAGTTATTTTTGATCACGTACGGAGCGGAATCCTCGCGAGATCATTATTTTTCTGACGGTGATTGCCCATTCCTGGCGCAAACACTACTCTTTCCTATGTAAAGTAACTGAGCCTTATACACTACTCAAAGTATTTATTGTTGAGCTGAAATGCGCTATAGCGAATAATGTACACGGAAATGCGCAAAGCGTATCAATAAACCTGACTGAGAATCACTGTGTGAAAATGCTGTTGAGTAACTGAGCCTTATACACTACTCAAAGTACTTTTTGTCGAGCTGAAATGCGGTATAGCGAATATTGAATAATGTACCATGGTTTTCCATGGTATTCACACAGGTTCCTGAGCGTCAATCTTTATCATACACAATAAAGCGTCTGATCATGCTAACACACAGTCTGAAAAGTCTTGTGGGATATTTTCTGAGCGTCGCTGATAATCCAGGATGCCTAAAT